ACATTTAACAATTTAGAGATTTCCTGTATTTTCTCTTAAAAACCTAAAAAGCCTGGGCCACACTGTGCCTGCATTCCTGCAGGGCTCTTGATGAGAGCTGAGCCATTCATCACTCGTGCTGACCGTGCACTTCTATCATTTATGGGACCTGAGTGTGCCACCCCACTCCCTGCAGTCTCTCTACTCCCAGCGGCTTCTGATTGAGGTCTCACTTAGAAGGTGCCCAAGTCTCTAGGCTTGCAAAACATCTCAGTCCTTCATTCTCATATCAAATTATTTATTAAAAAGAAAAAAATCAAGTAGGATATATGTAGGTGAGAAAAATAAATAAAAATCTAGAAGTTTGAAAGCTAGGCTACATAGTCTGTATTCCTAATGTTAAGAGTATTAGGCATAATATAATCAAGCAGAAAAAAACTTGGAGAAGTTATTAAATTGATCATCCCAAGTTTTTGAGTGGAGCCATATTGAGTTCTTCTGGGTGGAATTTTAAAATACATTCTATTTTAAAAAAACAAAACAGTGCAACACATCAACATACACACACACACGCATCTACATTACAAGCTTACTATTGTTAATGTGGCTTATTTCTTTGAAAAGTTGCCTCATCATACAATGTCTTTGTTTTTTCTCACTTTTAATTCTTGAGATCCAAGAATTAATCCATCTGAATTAATTCCTGTGTTGAGAACAGCAGCTGTAATAGTTTTCTCTCTTTTGTTTCCTATACATTCTTTGCCAACATAAGCTTAGCTGGCACCTCAAGATTTATTCCATTACATTCACAAAGCATCCCACTTTGAAATTGGAAAGAGTAAGGAAAATACACCAGCCTACTTGGGTCAAAGCCTATTAGAGCAAACAGCTTTACAAAATTATTTTTGTATAAAATAGATGGATTAAAATGATCAACCTGGGGACAACTCAAGTGTAAAAAGCCATTTTTAAAACTGCTGAATCAAAATAAAATGGAGCATGTATTGGATATTAAATGACATTGAGGCATCGTTGTTAATTCTATTCGGTATGACAATGTGTGTGTTTCTATTAATGATACTTCAAAAACAGAAAGAAACATGGATTTGCTGTCATGTGAGACTCACAACTCTTGGGACTATAGTCTTTCATAGTTGTAAGAGACTTTAAACATCACCTCGTCCAGGCGTGGAGAAGAGGTTTCAATTTACATGCACTTCAATTTCATAGTGCTATCTTCAAAAGAAATTTTGGTATCTAAGATTCAAAGGAAAAAAAAATGCCACGAATCATTAGCAATGCTGGCCAGGGTCGCAGGATAGGAGAATGGGGCTGTATGTGCTACCATATTAGTCACCTTTCAAACCTACAGTCTAGTGGTCTTTGAGGGAGCTTACTACTTGCCAATTCAACTCATTGCTTCTCTAGACAGCTCTGTCTATTATTTCTTATCTTTTGAGCTAACATCTTGTTTTCTATAGCTTACAACCACATGACATAATGACAAGTCTAGTCTAGTTCCACTGTAATTTAACAGTGTTAACTTAAACTATTTGGGGCCATTCTCTTGTCCTCCCCAAGTGTGAAACATCACCAGTTTCCCCAACCACTCTTCACATAGCACGGTTCCCTCCCCAACATCACCATTCACCATTTACAGATGCTACTTTGTCCCTGTTCCAGCAGGACACAGTAAAAGTGTCCTCTTGACATCACATTGTTATAATATAATCCCCAAAATACCTTTATTGAATTCAAATTTTGGTTTGCAAAATCTTTGCCTTTCAAATTTTGAAATCGGATGCTATTCTCCATCTTAAGCTCTGTTTGATTAGTCAAATGGAGGCTTCTAAAAATCTTTCTAGCTATCTGCCAAATCTGGGTCAATTTAAATAGATTTCTCAGAGTGTGCAATGATCATCCCATATTTCCAGGCCCTGGTATGCCACTAACCATAGAAACCATAAAAAGACTCAGAGTGCCCCTCCTGACCCTTCAGTGGTGCCTCAAATCAATCTACAGATTTTCAATCTTACAGGGAGAATTTCCAGTCTTACAAATGATACCTGAGGGAAACTAACTAAGCTAGATGCTTCCTCTATTCGATATTTATCCTCACTGAGAGAAATGAACTATAAGCCACCACAAACTGGCTCAGCATAAGCAATAAAGTAGGGTTGATTCGTTCACTCAAATGTGCTATAAGGACTGAACTAGGTGAGTGAGTGAATGAGAGTGAATAAGATAGTGACCATGTCATCAAGCATACACCGCTTCCCCTCAATGTATGTGGGAGATTGGTTCCAGGACTCCTGCATACACTGAAATCTGCACATATTCAAGTCCCAAGTTAGGCCTGCAGATTCCAAGTACATGAAAACCCTCCATGTATGCAGGTTTCAGATCCCATGAATATTGTCTTTTCAATCTACCTGTGTGTTGGAAAAAATCTGCATATAAGTGGACCTGCAAAGTTCAAAGCTGTGTTGTTCAAGGGTCAGCCACAATTTCAAGCAGTAGTCAAAAGTGATTAATGAGGTACAAAGAACTGTGGAAGTTGAGGGTAAAAGTAGGTTTCTTTGGCCGGGCTGAGGAGGTGGTAGAGAAGACAGCAGAAAGGAAGTGAGAAGTGGGACAACTTCATGGAGGAAGTAGTGGGTATGGAAGGACAAATGGAACTGGAAGAGTGGAGAAGTCAGAAAAGGGCGAGAGAACAGAACAAATTCCAGTGAGTCAAGCCATGTGGTTAGCTGGAGCATAGGGTTTATAAATACTATTGGGGGAAATAAAGTCTGGAAAAATACAGAGGCCAAGCTGAATGAGACGGCTTTCTATATCAGGATCAGCTAATGAATGGGTGATTTACACCACAGAACATGTGACCCATCAAAGACATGGAGAGGTGAGGGCAAGGGAAGGTGAAAAACTCAGAACCTAGGACAGAAAAGAAGTTAAGTGAATAAATGGAGGGAGAGAAAGAAAAGCAAAGGGTAAGAAGACAAATATTGTCCTCCAAGTAACAGGTGACTCCTGTACTATTTATTTTCCTTCCTTGACATTTAAATGCATGGTTATCAGCTCCTTTTCCCTTTTGAAATGCACCTCCAGGCTTAGATCTCCAATTCTTATGTGTCTTCCATCTGTCTATGCCCTTTCTTAACAACCACTTCTCCTAAACTACCTAATCCATCCCCAGCAAAAATAGTCAGTATGATTCATCCACAAAGACATTGGCAAAAGAAAAACATGACAAGAGGACATGCTGGATAAGAGTGTGGGATCAAATGACCTTTGCACACACCCGAGGGAGGGAAAACAAGAAGCTACGGGGGAGTCTAAAGAGGGGTGAGTGGCACAAAAGGGCCTATAGACCCCAAAAAGCAATATCAGCCTAAGGAACTCAGGGCTTCCTTGTGTTCTCCCATCCACCCAACCACTCTTGTGTTCATTTCTCTCTCTCCCTCCATCCTCTGCTTCTCTGCTGCCACACACCCAGCAGCCCACAAAGGCAAAGCCAGTTCCTATGGATCTCTCAAGCCTCGGGTTACACATCACTTTATCAGGTCCTCATGATTAACCTTCTCCCTACATAGCATCCTGGATTTTTTCTTTCATAAATGCCTCACAATGTGATTTCTCATTTGTTGACTTCTCTGCTATATTGTAAGCTCTATCATGGAAAGGGCTGTCTTCTCACTGCTGTATCCCTAGTACTGAGCACAGAGTCTCAACTCAGTAAATGGCTGTGGAATGAGTAAGACATCTCCCAGACAAATAAGTGGCATCACTAGAATACCCTAGAATTCTCTAAGACCAAAAACTGGTGTGACCAAGATTGCTAACTATTCACCAAAATCCATGCTCTCTGACTTTAGAGGGCACACAGATACACTAATTCCTCACCGTCCCTTGTAGCTAGGTATGGCTGTGACTAAATTCTGGTCCATGGAATATAAGCATAAGTGACGTATGTCAATTCTAAGCTAACCCTTAAAAATCCTTCCATGCTTTTCCTCCATTCTCTTTTTCCTTTTGGGTTGGCAGGACTGCACACAACCCCTATGGCAATCTCAGAAGTCACATGTTGCTACCTAGAATCCTGAAAAGATTCTAAGTCCTTTCCTTTTGGAAAAGGACTACCCCTCTAATATGTTCATAAAGAAAACTACACTTCATACATCATACATCCATCATACATTTAGGGGTCTATGTGTGACAGTAGTTAACCTATCTAACTAATTCAGTGATAAATTACAACTGAAGTTAAGTCCCCTAACCTTTACCAGCCAGCAACTGTTTGTCGCTTTCCCAAAAAGAAATAAAGGCCATTCAGAGGCCAGTACAATCTTTTTTGGTATGTATGACAGAACAAAAGTTACATTTGTCATGATCATTGGGAAAAGAGAGTAACCATGCCTCGGGCTTCCCTGGGCTTGGGCCACAGCCACAAAACAGGCTGGGTGGATTCCGGTGATGTCAGAACACTGGACAGGGAGCTTGCTTGCCTGGCCTCATCTCAGAAGTACAGGTCACAACCCGCAGGCCCTGGACAAATGCCCAACTGCCTTCTTGAGTAGTCTGTCCCTGGCCTCATCTGTGCTTTGTAAAAATGTCACAAACCATTATCCTGTTCTCAATGCCGCTGGGGAGAAGCTGCCAAAAGCTTTTGCAAAATCCATACCAACCTGCACTGCCATGGAACAGTGGCTGCACCAAATGACTTGCCTTCCGAATAAAGCATTCAGCTGAACAGAGCGAGATACAACCTTAGACACAATCCACCTCCCTGTGGCAAAATTCCTCTTACACTGAAGATGTATTTGACTACTTCTGTTGTTTCTACTTAACACAAGAGACTTTAAAAAGAACTCCCCTCTCTGGTGGACTTCAGTATTTCACAATTGAATTACATTTAAAAGAATTAGTAGCATGTACTGTACTAATTGCTTGTTCGCTCAAGTCTAGGAAACTACTAAAAGGGTAAATCATCGACTAACTCCTTTTACCTTTCTTTATTGCAGGTTTGTTTGTGTCAAGACCTTCCAGATCCAGTGGTTCTTCATCTTTTGGGAGATTGATGAAACAGTTTGATCCATTGCACACAAAATATGTATATAGTGCACACGTCTACTGCCTGTGACTTAAGAGGGCACACAGGATGCCTAGTCCGCCCACTGATCCCAAACCCAGAGTCAAGAACCTTTTAGCTCAAGGGTCAGCAAACTTACTCTAAAAAGACAGCTAGTAAATATCTTTGGCTTTGTGAGCCGTATATAGTCTGTTTTACAACTAGTCAATTCTGCTGTTGCAGTGCAAAAGTAGCCACAGATAACACACGAATGATTAAGTATGGCTGTGTTCCAATAAAACCGTACTTATGAACACCAAATTTGAATTTCATGTCATTTTCATGCATCACAAAATCTTAGTCTTCTCTTGATTTTTTTTCTCACCCACTTAAAAAATAAAAACCATTCTTAGCAGGAGACCCGCCAAAAAAAAAAAGAAAGTATGATGCACCATAGTTGCCAACCACTGCTGCAGGGCATGGGTTCTAAGCATTCATCACCTTGGGGAAAAAAATTGCATCTCTATTATCACTGATTTCCCCTAATTGGAATTTAGCATTTCCTTCCACTATGAATGTAGACCATACAGCAGCAACATCAATAACTATAATGCCGTCACCAGCAGAAATCACAGGTATGTTCACATTGCATTAGAGTTATTGCAGACAACTCAAAATATTGATTATGTGCAACGCTATTTTTAAATTATGCCCATTCTTAGATCTTCTGCGGTACCTAGTTATTTAAACATGGTAGGGTTTTTTGTTTTTGGGGTTTTTTTTGGGGGGACAGGGTCTTACTGTCATCCAGGCTGGAGTGCAGTGGCGTGATCAAAGTTCACTGCAGCCTTGAACTCCTGGGCTCACCTCTGCCTCCCAAGTAGCTGGGATTACAGGTATGCACCACCACAGCCAGCTAATTTTTCTATTTTTTTGTAGAGACAGGGTTTCATCATGTTGCCCAGGCTGGTCTCAAACTCCTGGGCTCAAGTAATCCACCCACCTCAGCCTCCCAAAATTCTGGGATTACAGACATGAGCCACCGTGCCCAGCCTAAATGTGTTGCTTTTTAAAAGCACATAGATTTCCAAATCATGAATTAGATTTTTAATATTTGGATAGCTGTATTTCAATAACTGATTTCCAGTGTAACCCTAAATATTTTATTTTGTGCAGAGGGTTTAAGAACAGTGTCCTGAGAAATAGTCTGGAGCCTTCACCAGATACCAAAAGTCCATGGTACATAAAAGGTACGAGCTCTTTCCTGCTCCGGGCTAATAGGGCCTGAGTGGCAAAACCATAGCATCTCTTACCAGAGTATTCACATCTTCAGTTTTGTGGATAAGCATCCGGATCTCCTCTGGATCACCGCTGAAGATTGCCTGGACCAGTGGTGGCTGTAAACACAAGAGAATGGGAATCAGAACTAAAACTAATATATCTGATCACATAAAGATACAGATGGTAAGAAGATTTGCTCCTTAAAAGTTTATTCAACCATTATCAGTTGGCAGACAAAAAGGCATCTGTTGCAAGTCCTAACCATCAATGTGACTGTATTTGGAGATAGGACCTTTAAGGAGAAAATTCAGATTAAATGAGGTCATAAGATGCGGCCCTGAAGAGACACCAAGAGTTCCTGTTCTCCCTCTCTTTCTTCTCTCTCACACAGGAGGAAAGGCCATGTGAAGACACAATGAGAAGGTGGCTGTCTGTAAGCCAGGAAAAGAGGCCTCACCAGAAACTAACCCTGATCTTGGACTTCCAGCCTCCAGAACTGGGAGAAAAAAAATTTCTGTTGTTTAAGCCACCCAGTCCATAGTACTTTGTTATAGCAGTCTAGGCAAACTAAGACAGTTCCCTTCGGCTCCTCCACTTCTTATTAGACAACGTTCCTTGGTGTCCTCAAATAATTCCTTTCCTAGAGGATGCTAATGGCCATGTTTCTGGCCATTGGAACACTTTTGTGTCAATATTTGGAAAACCCTTGACATCATTCCCAAATGCCTCCCATAGCTTTAGGCCACAAGCACTGTCTTAAGCATGATTCCATCTGCTGCTTATTAAAAGTAAGTGGCACTATGGCAGGTTAGGGAAGAAGAGGGGGGTGTTACCAAACTCTTATTATTGAATTCATCTACCTTAAACAAGACCCCAACATGCAGTAGAAGGATCTATATTGTGTGATGGAAACATAGCTGAAAGAACAGCTAGCTCTGCTTGGGTAAGAGGTTGGGTGAAAACAAGGGTGTATCCAAAAAAACTTAAGGAAGGCACCTTAATGAATAAGTATGAGTTGCTGACCAGGAAGGAAGGCATTCTAGGCAAACAGAGGGAGCACAGGTGTGCAAAGGTGTGGATAGGCAAAGAACCTGATATGTTAGAAATATAACCATCAACCTAGTGGCCAGAGTATGGAGTAAAAGAGGAACAGTGACAGGCTTTGGGGCTGATGTTGGGCTTGCCCGTATGGTAAAGGATCCTATTCGAAGTCAGTCTCACACTTGCCAGCCACATGCAAAATCCATGTCCACGTGTTACTTGGGGGTGAGCACGATCATCGCTGCCTGACCTCCTCATGCGATTGTTATTAGGATCAAATGAGAAAGTGCATGAGAAAATCTCCTGTAACCAGACAACCCTACATAGATGTTTTCATTAAGAAATGTTTCGCAATGACAATATGCAGTAGTTGATAATTTTATTTTAACCCTAAAATCCTTGGTAATTACACACACACACACACATACACACACACACACACTCAAACTTCTAAAAATACATTAGTCCTAGGAGTCAATTAGATGACAGCAGTTTCCCCAATGTGTCTGACCATGAGAATCACGAGAGATGCCTACTAAAACAATAGTCCCAGATCCCTTTCCTGAGGATTTAGTAGATCTAGGGTGGGGACCTGCAGATCTAGACTTTAACAAGTACCCATCAATTCTTAGGAACTGGTGGCAAACACCGGCCTCAGGTGAAATCACTAGCATCACAAACTTTGATCTCTCCCTGTGATCTGCTGTTGGGAATCTGAGTTGTCATTTTCCCTATAAACGCTCTTTTCTCTTTGTGTCCTCCTGTTATCTTTCTTACAGGTTGTGTTGCTATTTATTGCTAGTTTGGGGGACCAATATAAGTACTATCAGTAAGACAGAGTAAGATTCCTTGAGGAAACACTATGTAAAAATGTCAAATTGCAGAATGGATATTTCAATATGCCAGGAATTTGTCCATGGGTTTCTCCTCTACCATAAAAATTCCCAGCAAATGAACATTAAGTATCCCCTTTTCTTTCCCCAAAACACCCTGTCAATCCTGCTTCTTGACAAGGTATATGGATAGTTTCTGAACTTTCCAACAATTAAGTAGCAGGAAAGAAGTCTTGAAAAGAATACAAGTTTACTGATAGTTCAGTCTTAGCTACTTGCTCTGCCTAAAGAAAGCAGATCCTTCCACACTCCCCCTAACTACCTGTTAACCAAGTCTCCATTCGGGTTACATCTGCCCCATGGCGAGAACCACATTTCACACAAGACAGAGTCAGACAAAAATTCAGAGTTTCAACAAAAAAAATACTGAATCTTGTTTATCTGCTCCATAATTCTCCATCTGCTGTGCTCATGGCCAAATGCTCATGTGTGCATTTCTGCCTTTTTGGACTTTAAGAGAAAACAAACAACAAACCTCCACAACCAGAGAACGATAAGTAGAGACTGTATCTGACAAGATTTTCGTGTTAAATCAGGAGTGGTCAATCAACAGCTGCACAGTTAAGATTCCAAGGAACAAACCCAATCCATTAGTTAATGTACCACTGCTTAGTCACTTTAAGGGAACACAGTAAGGTGAGCAAAGTCTCCCTGTCTCAAGTGCACAGAATACATACAAACATTCTGTTGCATTCACTCAGTCCTCACACTTCTGAAGAAAGGCAAGCATTCCAAGCTACCGCTGGAATGTTCCCAAGAAGAGGCACCCCAACAAAGCTTCCACAGAAGGACGCCAGCACAGTCCCTCAGCAGGAAGTGGTGCCTCTTAGACTAATGCTGCTACAAGCTACTTTATAGAGAATTGTCAATGCACAGAGTTCATTAGGAAGAAGAGGCTAAGCTATCATTATAACTCTTCCAATTCTGAAGTCACATATATGCATATATATGCTCCCAGGTACATACGCATACCTATCTACACTCATGCATGTGTGCATAGAGACACATGTTGATTTGTATACAAACCCCTTCTATGCCCCAAGGAAAAGAAAAGCAGCTGTCCACATCCCAAAGCCTTGCTATATGGACATCTCTAGCCTCAGCTGTGTCATGTGGCTACTGTGACACTGCCTTCACAGTTATGAATCTAAATATCATGGGATTTAAAGCTAGAACTTCACAGATAACATGTTTTGCTTCAACTGAAGCTGTGTGTTTGTATGGATATAATTATTGAACTAAACTACCATGACTTTTGAGCAAGTAATATACATTTTTTTTAATTATGACTGCTTCTTTTTTCTCTCTCTCCACACTACCAAAAACATGCCCAGGGAGCACCCTGGCATTCCCTTTTGTTGGAATTTTAATGTGATCCTGCTGTTCTATTTTTCCCCAGGTAAACATTTACTCTAAGAAAAAATATTGGGAAAAAGATATATCTAAATACCACCTCTGTTACATGATTCTTAAGACAGAGAAAATTCTAATTACAGTATTCTTGCTCATAAATATCAAGGACACATACTCTGTTGTTCATTAATTTGGCAACCATTATAACCTTGGCAGTTTTTGCCTTAACTTAGAAGCAAAGTCCTACCTGCCCAAGAGCACAGTCCTAAGCCTTGGCACATACAGATATTTGTTTTTCAAGTTTCACACATTTTAGCACTAGTACATATAACAGGAGTGCTTTGTGTACAGTAAGGTACAGAGCTGAATAAACACAACATTGTAACAAGGGTCAAAATTGAGAAAAACAAATAGTGGTAGGAAAAAAGGAGATTCAGATACCATGAAATCATTGATCATCATCCCCTAAAGAAATTTAAATTAAGAGAGGTATGCAGTGTTTTCAGCTTCAATTGCTAGAATTTTCTTAGCATGCTTAGCAGCTGCAAAATGATTGTCAGTGCCATGGATATTGGTGCAGTTTCTCTGGTAGATTCAGAAGACAGAAGGACACTTCCTGGGCCAAATTTACCAAAGGCACAAGTGGGATTTGTTGTTCACATGGGACCTGTCCTTGCCTTCAACAACTGGCCCCCTACGACCTTTCCAGGAGTGTTGACGGCTGCCTTCTAGATGATGACACTTGACCCCTCTAAGACAGAAGTGTGGAGCAGAAGGCCCCTTGATCTTGGCAGCCATTATAAATTTTGCAGCTGACCTTGCTAACCCTGGGAACTGAAACCTAATCAGCTGAAAGCCACTTTCTCTACCCACATCCCCTATCAGCACACCCAGTAAAATATTCTGTTTTTATTCTCACCCTGAAAACAAACTGGAAA